ATCGCGTGTCGCATTCAATTAAGTCAACTGATTTGTCAAAAAAAAAAACACTTTAAGACTTATGCTGTGCACAGATGACAACAGAAAATTACCTTTGAGGAAACACTCCCATAACATTATAGGGGTATTATTATTATTATGGAACGACTCTATCCGCAGAAAGACTCCTTTCTTATAGCATAAATGTTTATTTGAAATTATAACCGCTTTCATTCTTAAGTTCGGTCACGTAATGAATAAAGAACAGACTACTTCAGGTCAATTTAAATGCAATCACTGTCTCTTTGATAAGCGTTCAATTTGAAATTGCGATCGGATAAAATTCTTAATTATTGGAAATCGTTTAGCATTAGCCGGGTCAAAATGAAATGTATTATCAATGCGGAATATCTTATAAGACCATATAATTCGTTTTAGTTTTTACTAAAAGTAGGTTTATGTTATAACCTTCCATCGAGTTGAAAGCTTCCGATATATTCAGACATGGGAAACTACCGTCATTATCAAATTAGCACAGACCGAGTAAACTACATTAACATTGTTAGCACCAGTCTGATCATGTCGCAAATTAATATCAATGCAAAATATTATACACGATATTATACTTATGATGTAATCTCTTACGGGGTTCACAGTTTCTGGTATATCTAAGTATGTACTATGTAGAACTTCCAGCATTATAGCAAATTAGCATAGAGCGAATTGCCATATCAATAGCATGTAATAAATCCGTACTCGAAGTTTCGAGTTTCGGTTGTGTTACTGTTAGCCGCTCATTTCACCAATTCCGTAACAATAAAACTTCGTTATAAAAAAGTACACAAATTTTGTTTGTTTATTAATTTCTTAAAATACGTAGCCCTAACTAAGTAGACAAAAATAATGAGGGACTCTTGTTTAATTGATGTAACACTGTAATCGACCCTTTTTCGAATGGTGGCGGGGTAAGGGGTGGGGGTGTCAATCTGTGTATGAATTAGGTTTAATAATATGTATAACTAACAGTATACGATTAGGGAGACGATTTTTGTCATGGCATCTTGAATGATATCGTGGTTTCGTATAGAGTATAAAACGATAACTTAAATTTAATGTCTTGTATCCGGCCCGGGAGGTATGTCGGTAACTGATACTTTATTATTTCATTTTTTCCTACTAATTTTTCCTCGCAAGAAGCATTTACCCAACACTGTACTTCCGGTACCCAATTACAGCTGTCTTGATTGGATTTGACATCCAGTCGGAGTGAGGCCAGAATAACTACATCGTGTATAGGTTCATACATACTAGCCTGCTCCTGTTTCTTGCATGTTTCATTGGATCAGGATTATGACAATTATGTGAATCAGAATACTTATACTATAACACATACTTATGGAAGAACAATTGCGACTTTATTTTCGCGATTGTAATGAATGTGAAACCGAAAGAAGGTATTATTGTCAAGCTTGATTTAGTTGCCACACTAATGATAGTTCGATGTATCCGCGGTTGTGCTGGTTCAACTCGCCGTTTTCGATAGATCCTCTTAAGAAAATTTTAAATGTGTGATTGTAATTGTAGTGTTTTTGTGGCGATGTCTCAGATCCACCCTGGAGCCTTTTTGCCGAGTTTTTCAAGCTTTTAGAAAGCTTCCTAAACACGTGTTCCCTGTGGGTTTAGCCCATTTTCACTTTTCAGTTGATTGCTAGTGGACTGATCAGTTTACAATAAATCTACCGTAATAACCTGTTTTTCTACAACAAATTGGATTTTCTCAAAGTGCGACCTAATCGATGGCTATTCCTTCAAGTTATTGTGTTACCCTTAAGTGACTTTCCACTATCGCGAGATTCGTAATCAGCCGTACAGAGAGGAAAGGAAGGCGCTGTTGATTTTTTTGTCGTTAATAGACAGCTGATTTAATTTCGCCAATAACCGGAATCTCTACAGAAGGTTCAATGCACGTCTTTCATCTCAATATTAAAGTAAAAGACCAGTTGTTTGAAAAGAACTTTCTCTGATTTTTTTAGTGATTAAGAGAAGCATAATACTAGTTTTAGATTCATTAAATGATGAAATATATATAGTTCAGTCTAAGTAAGATTTATGTAAATTTGGTTATTATGGCCAATATTATAATTAACGTTAAATATTTGTATGTTTTTCTCATTTTAATTGCATATCTTTGCAAATATGGGTTATTTTAAACAAGCAGTCCATATTAATACAGATATTTATGCATTTGAATGTTATGTATATAATTAATAAAAATTTATCCGTAAACGGGAAATATGTTTAGATATACGGTATCTCTTTAATAAACCAAAAATTACTATTGTCACCGAACGTGTTTGAAGGTGGTGCTAGATTAATTCCTATTTTAGTTCACTTTTGGGAACATTGAGAACTTATTCGAATTTGGTATAAAACAGCTGACACAAAAAACACTTCATTTTGCAGCAAAGCCTTAATGTCCAGGACCCCCCACCCCCCACCCCCATCCTATAAAAAACAGCTATGAAATAATATGTAATAATTTAAGGTGGGAATTCAGAAAATGCCCAAGGAAAATATTCTGCGTCTTGTTAGGAAAACGGTCGTTATCACAAAAATCGCAATATGTCGCAAGTTACATGTGTACCCCAACGTCTTTCCTCCTATAAAATCTATGAATTTCAGGAACAGAAGGTGGAATTTAGGGAATATATCCTGCGTCTTGATTCAAAAACATAAGATTATGATTTAAAACTGCCATCGGGAATACCAAATTGGATGACTTAAAGGAACAATAGTTCATGTCGTAAGCAGGCATCATATGTGTCCATGATTGGCGTATTGACATGTTATAATCCTGTTCGGAATATTGTTGAATTTATACCGTAAAATTAAAACAACCCACGGAACAAATATATATGAAGTGATGTCCGACCCCTCACCTCGTCTTGTAGATCAAACAGTATTGGTATTTATGTGAATTGCGTAATACTTTATTTTTGCGTTTCATTTTCATATATCTTACAACACGTGATTCAACTTCTATTATTTGAAAAATTCATACAGCTGGTGATTTTTGCTGTGATTTAAACTATTTGGCGGAAGAATCTATCTGTGGCCTTTGTAGTTATATAGGTTTTAAAAGTCCTAGAAATCGTTGTAATTAGCTATACGTGCCTTTATACGTATGTCGTGCTCGAAGCTAATTATGTGTCTTTTAAGCTTGTATTGCTAATATTAATCCGATCATCTCGGACTAATGTCCGCTACCGTTGGCTATCGTTTATTTGAAACTATCTGTAGCCTTTGCAGTTATGTAGCTTTAGATTTTAGAAGTCCTAGCTATCGCTGTAATTAGCTATACGTGCCGACGTATGTCGTGCACGAAGCGAGTCATTATTTGACATAACATAGCTAATTATGTGTCTTTTAAGCTTGTATTGATAATATCAATCCGATCATCTCGGACTAATCTTCTATGTCCGCTATTTGGGGCTATTATTATCGAATACGGATCATAGCCAAACTAGGAATTTGATTGGCTTCAGTGTTATTACGATAATAGTACATTCATATTTACCGTAGTTAGCTAACGGTGGGGCTGAGAAGAAGGTCAACATGCCATTCGCTTAAGTTGCACAATACAATTGTGTTTAATCAAGCGGAAAGCTTAATTTAAAATATTGCATCAATTTCATGAAACATTTTTCTGAACTTTAACCAGAAATATGTTCTTGATCACAAATAATTGCTTCTGTCTTCAATCGGGAATATTTCGATTAGTTCTTCCACGGAAGAATATATGAATTTTTCGATCGACCATCAAAATACCATTTAGTAATTGTTGTTGTGTAAAGGTCGTATATTCCCCATGAGAGGTATGTTTGGACGCCATGACCATTAAAGATTCAGAATTTTAACTGACAATGTAGTTTAAAGTTTTAAAATCTACTTATCTTACCATTAACTATACTCACAAAACTTTATGTACATATCATAAAAGTGATTTTAAAAACCTTCTGGGATCAAACCAATTTTTAAAGGGTTGATGCTCAAGGGGGATTCCAATTCACTTCCTTCTGGCATGAACATCGAACACTTACAGAGTTATTTCCCTTCAAACTTTTGATAATGAAAATTTAGACTATACTATGGCACAGGAGTCAACGCGGAAGAAGTGTGGATCCTATTATTTTCTAATGTGTCCTTCTCTCCTTACACAACGGACACAATTAAATGATTACTTGATGCCTTGCGAATTCGCTGGCTGTCATGACCTAGGTATGTTGAAATGGCGTTGAATCCAAATTAGTATTTTTGCATCTCTATTCAAATCTGCAATGTCTATAGCATGTCATGCTCATATTTCAATAAAGTTAGGTAATTCAATTTGTATTCTACTTCAGTTTCCAATAACTGAATAGCTGTTTACGCATAATGGGTTAACAATGATTATTCACAATCGATGTAAAATGACAATAGAGTCATGTGTTCGCACAGTTATTTTAAATGTCATTTCAGATAATAACATTAAATTGTAGTCGCTGATGTAAATTAGTGCTGGTATAGTCCTAACCCAAAACAAATAACACTCCTCTACTTGTAAAGCACTGGTTAATGAATTGTTTTCTTGTCTCTCTTATCGTGTAGATATATTGTTGTATAACATTATTTAATAACACGTCTCGCCATTCCATGGTCAACATGAACAATTTGTTCCATTAACTGAATTTTATATGGTTATTTTTTTAAAGGGACTATAATCTCTAAAGATGGAGAGGGGGTTGGGAGGGGGAGGGGGGGGGCTCTTGCCCTTGATACAGACTGGGTTATTTCGGATCAAATATATGGTATATATTTTTCTAATAATGGCAATAGATCGCGCGCAACACTCTTTATCAGAGTGTATGGAGGTGGGTACAAGCATGGCACCGAGTTCAAGTCACCCCTGTCGCACCACACCTGATATTATTTTTCACTTAAATACAACGTAATCGTGATATGTTTTCTCTTTGTTTTTGTAGAATTGTGGAGATGTGTCCCCTACAACTTTATCACCGGAAGTTTCACCTAGTAATTCATGTGACGAAGGGGAAGGAGCAACGTAAGTAGCTTGTTATAGGAAATGAAATGCAATAGTGTTCTGCATCGACTAGGCTAATGAGCGACGGGTATAAACGCCATGTAGTGTGCTATTTAAGGGTGATTTTGCCCGACCTACTCTTATTTCGAATTCCAACCGTCAAGTGTTCTTTAACGTGCACGCCAATGTGTATAGGTAACTCATTTTTGCGCCTCACCTGATCGACTAGACACTGTGCATTGCCAAACTATGTGCTAAAATTATGTCCCATGATATAAGCGACCCCTAATCTACTATCAGCTTACATCGTTTGTTAGATTTGCAATTTTGAGAAAAAGGGTTGTTGTGTTTGTTCAGATAAAATGCTGTTTAAAACGTTGACAGTAAAACACATACATAAATACTGATACAAACCTTTTTATCATCCCGTTCCGTTATGACTATCGAACTCTGAAAGAGACCTTAATTCATTTCTATCTATAAACCAATCGGTTTCACAGAGTATCTCGAAAGTCTTCCAATAACTCTGTAAAATATGACTGCTTTCAAAACCTGACGTCACATCCAGCGGCGTCAATCATTGGCTCAATGGCGCATGCATTGTTTACATAAAAGGGTACTGGTCCGGGCGGAGTGGTCCCTTTTACTCATTTTACACACCCATTTACACTTAATAGGAAATATTGTTTATCTACATATACGTCAAACACCATTATTTATTTTTTCTAATGCTTACAAAAAAATGTTCTAGGATTTAATTTGCGGAAGGAAAAAAGTTAATATTGGGGGCTCATTAAGCCGCATCAATACCACCCCTATCAGTGATTGTAGCTGATCGGTGTGTCCCTAAACCCCTATCAAGACCATGTTATTTGTTTTAATCTAAATTGCTACATAAAGAATAATGTTAGATTTAAATTAGGAAAATGTGCCTTTAATTAATAAAATTCCTTTTGCAAATGTACTACTAGCCCTAGCTCCCCCCGCCAAGAAAAAATATCCCACAACAGAACTTATTGCTAACTCCTTGTCGTCAAAGTTACATTGTTCTTTTATTATATATAAAATCGTTAAAAGTGCCCTATATTCCTTGACTCTATCGGTTATTTTGACTGACCAGGTCGACTGTGCGGTTTAGAGTCAGTAAGTGATTACCTCTCTTGCACAGAAATGTCCTCAATTGTTTAACCTTTGTATTTTCTCTTTACATGTATACTTTCCAATCTTTTTTATCCACGCTGCATTCTAGATCTCGTTGTGACTTTATGGCCCTTTTCGCATAATGGTAACAAGTTGGGACATATGTTGTGCACGCGACATGGTATGTTTATGTACTTTCCACCTGTCATTAAATTGACTGTCTTCTGGCAAGTAATTTGTCACATGGTGGTTGTATTGTGTATATTTTTCGTATTATTTTTTGGGGTTTGGTCTATAAGATTGTCTCAGTTTCTGTTAAGCATTCATTGCTGTATTGTCTCAGTTTCTGATGAGAATTCAGTGCTGTGTTGTCTCAGTTTATGTTGAACATTCAGTGCTGTATTGCCCCAGTTTCTGTTAAGCATTCAGTGATGTATTTTCTCATGCAGTTTCCGTTGAGCATTCAGTGATGTATTGTCCCAGTTTCTGTTGAGCATTCAGTGATGTATTGTCTCAGTTTCCGTTGAGCATTCAGTGCTGTATTGTCCCAGTTTCTGTTGAGCTTTCAGTGATGTATTGTATTTAAATGAAGTGTAGACATTGATCAGAAATGGGTTGACTTTTACTCGGCACCATTCTTTTAATATTTTATTTTGGATATTTTAAAATGAAGTCGGCATAAAAACATTTATGATTGTTTCAAAAGTATAAAATAATGTTATTTAATCGCACTATTCAAAAGTTGACCACCTGGATCACTCGAAACTTTTGGCTCACGCTTTTGTTTGTAATTTTTATTAGATTATATTTATATCAAACAGTATTACCTGCCCTAATGTAGCACGAAAATAGATTTGGAATGAGCCCTTATATCTGTTAACGTTTTATCTGGTAATTTTAAATGTCTATTGAAAACACTTAAAATGTGGAGGGAAATAAAGACGGGATCGTGGTGCTTAAAGGGAACATAGGATGATTTTAGTCGTTTAAGTACAGATTGGGTGTTTTAAGGATCTGAATGGTTCGTCTCGGGTACTCATCCCACCAACCCACAGACTTATCTTTCTAACTTAAATACTTCAATAATCTAGTAAAGTATTAATGAGGGGTTAAACTCCACCGTGTTCGATTGTTGATATCTTTCCCCCAAATTCCCAAACTGATCATGTACATGTATAGGTCTCATTATTAATTATAGGACAAGTACACGCGTATACATTTAGTTCAATTTTATATGGAACGATATCGCGTGCAGCAATGAAATTAGAATACTAATAGTTAGAAAGGAAAGCACAAAATTTCATTCATAAATAATTGAGTATATTTCTAGTAAATTAATACGTTGACATTTATTGAACTCTATCTAGTGGGCAATAAATAAATTGGTATATTACATGAAACACGTCACTTCCCCGTTGCCAATCCCTGTAAATAAACGCCGTCATTGAACTTATTAAAGGGCTATATGCCTTGTATATTTAATAATGTAAATTTTCACCGTAACTGTATTATATTTTTGTTATGGACAATAGATTTAGAAAGTGGCGCCAATGCAACCACACATTTATTTTGTTGCATGTAAATTTTGTCGTGCTCAATAAAACAAGAAGCTATGAACATGAGTGTATCGACATTGTATTGACCAAAACGTATTAATGAAACAAATTTGTACCATTTGTGAGTCCCGAGATGACCTAGTTTGTATCGAGTGGACGTTAAACCCCCGCGATGCAGAACGAGGGGGAGGGGAGCAATAAATGGTATCTAGTCGTTGGGATAGTTAAAAAAAACCTATATTTCGCACCCCTAACATAACCCGTGACAGTCCAGGCAAAATGTCCATCATAACACACTACATGACGTATTCGTGTCTTTATTAACCCAGTTGGTGCAGAAAAGTAAGACTTTAAATAGAATTTCCAAAATAAATATGTAAACCCAACAAGCTCCATTGATTGTCCAGGAAGTACCCCGTAGTCCACATATAATGGCGACATGCACAGGACCCAATGTTACGGAATGCAATTACTATGAATTACTGAGCGACGTTTCGACTAAATGCCATTGAAACAATGATATTCTTATCGATATTTATATATAGTGTAACTCGAACTGTTGCCTTCCCGTGTATATTTTAGCTTTTGAAATTATGTTCAAATGACGCCATATAGATCAGAGTTTTTCTGCAGTATTTAAATCATTAAAAGAAACAAAACTCCTGATCGACTTTTGACATTTGATAGAATTTAAATAGGTCTAGCGGGCAGCGCGGACGAATACGCTTGTTAATCAATGTTCTTTGTTCTGAATGTCAAGTATTTTACTAAATAACTCGGAATGTTTTTAAAGGGTATCTGTTTACTTTTCGCCAAAGTACAAGAACTCTCTACTAGTAATTACCAATATCCGTTATCCTGCTGTACATTGTTGCTATGTAGATATTATATTCATTATATTTTACTTATATCATCTAAGTTCTTACGTATCTCTTGAAAAGGTGGGCGAATACAGGCTCATTATCGCTTTTATATAAATTACCACCATTTTTTGCTAGTTTCTATGTTTCCATTGGACACAAATGTTCTGTGATTCTCGCCGCTGGTGCTCAATAGATGTCGACACTAAACACCGTGCGTTCTAGCAATAGATTTTATTATTGGAAAATTGTGCCTGGCAATATTGACCTGTCTTTTAGTAGAACCCAAAGACGTACACAACTCAACGGGAAGTGTCACGATTAAGTCACATTTGTTCTGGGTAAGTGAACTGTAGGAATCGAATAAATGGTCATTTTGTGTGAGAGGGGAAATGAAATTAGCGTTTGTTGTGGACATCACAGGAAAGGTTCTATTATTAAGCTTAATCCTTAATCTAGTTCAGAGATGTAAGGGTAACAATAATAACATGGATCTATTCGGATTCATGTCTTTATTTGGTCAATTCGTTTTCAAGAAAGAAGTTTCGGCTTGCCAAAGGGGATTTGATTTTGAAAAAGAAATTGTTAGTGTTTGATGATTAATTTTGTTTTCATAATGTTTTGCAGTAATATCGCTGGTCGACTTAGACGGAGAAGAAGTTCCGTGGATCTCGCTATGAATATTTATCCAGGAGATCTTTTGGTTCAGGAACACCATAAAAAGCTTATCAAACGCAACACAATCGCGGATTTCTATGCAGGGCGAAATGGAACGACAGGAGGTCCAGTTAATCCCGAAGGTAAGAGTCTTATTGTTCTTGAATCGATGTACATACAATGGTTGCTCTACGTATATTGTTATATAAATAAATAATGAGGGTTAGGAATTCTGAACATGACCTGGTTTGTGCACGACACCAGTCAAGACGTATAGAACAATAGCTTAGCATAAATTACATCAATTTAAAGATTTAATGAAATGAGTATTTTGAACTCTTGAAGATAAAGGTCGAAAAAAATCTTGAGGACAATTCGTATGGGGTTTAAGATTATCGATTATTTGATTGCACTGTACCGTAAGATGGAAATTTCGAGATTGATTATTTGGTCGTTTATTAGCTCACACAAATTTTGGAAATATCTGCTCACAGTATTGGTCGTATTCTGTGCGTCCTACTACATAATTTCTGTTTCTTCTCTGGGAGACTATTTTAGTTGTAGTTAAACTTTTAATCACTTTATTTCATCACAAATGAAAATCTGATAATCCTATGAAATGCGAACTATTAATTAATACTAGATGGGGGTTATGGTCCGCTTCCAGCTAGCATAATATCGCAGACAAGTAAAACTTCGATTAAGCCGTGAAAACCTTTTAGGGATGGCGATGCGTGTCAGTGTGTTCTTGCTTTCGTGGTACAACTCTGTTTACATAATGCTTCGATTTGCTCTTTTACTGGGCTCCCAGATGTAATTACCTTGTCTTTTATCTGTATTCCACCCCCAGTCCCCGGGGTTATTTCTATTCAGATTGATTAGGAGATCTATATACCAAACAAAAAACGATTATCTGAACAAAATATTTCTTTTCAGTCGAAATCCTATATTTTGGGTCAGGACTTATTTGACAAAGGGTTAATTTTCATACCAATAACAAAAGTTGATTTATCACACCTTCCAAATGTATTTAAAACATCCGTCATAGAAATACTTAGACAAACAATTTTAATCAAAATAATCAGAATTGGAATCCCGATGTAGGTAGAGAATAACTTGGAACATTTTCAAGACTTGTTCCCACTTATTGGGGTTGACACCGGTTTGAGCAAAAAAGACGTAGTTAAATTTTATAATTAGGAATGGACGAAAATCGAGAACCATGTAGAATTTGTTAGTGTACGTAAATGATCCCGGTGTAGTTGGAATTGAAAGAAAAGGAGACTAATTAACTAACAGTGCACACGTAACCATGAAATGTAAAGTGTCATATATTAGTCTCAAAATGTCGTAAGAAAATTGTCGACAAGATCTCAAACCCCATTCCATTTATTTGCATATATACTGAATCGATGCTATTTTGTTTTATAAAAAAAGAATCCCGAAAATATAAACGTATTCCCCAAAGATCATTCTTCAATGAACCCTCGCAGAAAAGACACCACCACCTCTGTAATATAAATACGTCTTACTTATTTACTCTCAGAACTATATCCATTATCCAGTGTTCAAAAAAGAAAAATTCTGATATCGTTTATCATATTATATATAATAATAACTAAATCCGGCGTCAGGGTAAATAATAAGATATATTTATTAGGTCAGATTAAGACAGATTCCATGAACGACACTAAAGCCGCTGATCATATCTAATTTTCATGACTCAGTCCACACTAAAATGTAATAGATTATTTAAATTTAATTAAGGACCCCAAACTAAAATATCAGCAGTATATATTCTCATGGCTTGGATTCAATCGTATTGAAAAGAGGTCCCTCAGAAGATGATTCTAACTAATGTTTATAGGTGGCTTTGGCTCGTTTATGTCATCTGCAAAATGCTGAACGGAATTGAGCAATTTGTTTTTTACCAGGAATTGTTGTTGTTGTTCTTCTTCTTCTTGATGGTGATGCTCTTCGAAAAAAAGCCTAAGGCTCCGCCAATTCATACACGATCGAAATGGAACTTCACATGCATGTTCCTTGGACTTTTACGCATTGATAAATTTCGATATTTGATATGACGTCACAATTCCAATGTGGCTGCGGTGACGCAAGATGTTAAAATCCCCCAAATGACAATCGGTTTTCTTTAAGGGTACAGAGATTATGTTATTTCATGCAAGAGGAACGCACCACACACAAACAAAAACCATAAGACAAACTTGCGGACAAGACACACAAACTACACAGACATTGCAAGCAATAAACAACAAACTTATATGTCAAAGAAACTGAATTACTAACTTACATTTTTCAACCTTGATTGTTATTCTAGTTTAGCGCGAACAGTTTTTACTCATTTTAATGGATATTTATATTTTTTCTAAATTTAATTGCTATTTAATGGCTTTGGGATGTGATAGGACAGATAATTTTCTCAGGTTCAATACTAGATTAACCTCAAATATCTCGTAGGGGTTTCCCGACTGTAACAAGTAGTTTCTGGGGTGTAATTATTGAATTGAAAAAAGAGACAGACACCTTAATAGTGATCGATGATTAAGACTGCTTTTAAAAATATGATATACATGTAGATTATATACTGAGACACAATGAAAACGCGCAACGGATTAGACTGAAAGTGCTGACAAGAAAGTAACTTGTGTATCCACCCTAAGCACTTGGCAGCCACATAGAGGAGATAATTAATGTTGCTGTTGGAGACCCTGGTAGAGACAACGTCCAGTACTGTCCCACAAATGCTCGATTTGTGAGAGATCAGGAGAGAGGGGTGGTAATTCGAGCACTGCTACGTTATTTTAGTTAATGCAGACGCTTGATGACAACCGAAAAGTTGCACAATGTGACGTATCAAAACATTGTACCTGAGGTCCCAGGCGTTCATGCAGACTCTGTCCTTACATGGTAGCTAATGCCTCCCCAAGCAATTGCACTTCCTCCTCCCCTAACGCAACACTCGCACCCTCCTGCTAGCGTTAATCAGATGGAATCTGAATTCATGAGAACAGAGGAAGCCATGGCCGAAACAGTGATGTGGTTGAGTCAAAATTAGTCCAGGATAAGGTCGTCTGGCACACAGTCTGGTAGAGCATAGTTTGCGTCGAACAGTGTCAGCATTGCTGAACTCATGTGAACCCAACACAGTAAGTAGCAGCGGTAGGGGCAGATGATATCGTGCAATCAACCAGATGTTGCCGGATTAATGGGCCGGTCCTGTCTAGGCGTTGTCTAGTGGACCCTGTCTGCTGGAAACGATCGGTTAGTCGCAGAAGGATGGTGTGATAGCACCCAACCTTCGGGCGACGGATTACTGTTGAATTAATGCAATGGCGCGTTCTCTGTACCCAGGCTCCAACCTTGGCATAACTGTAGGAAATGTAGGCTTACTGGCCCTTGCTTTTAAAACTTACATCTTACACCCCATGTCTGTACCAGATTTTGTGTGGTACGTATGCGCGCTCTTGAAAACATCATTAAAGTGCGCCTCACACACACACACACCCACGCGCACACACACGCACACATACACACGCACACACAGATATAATATTTATATATGATGCGTTACGTCTTAGTATATACTCCTTTAAAGATCCGTCTAATCTTCTTCCTTCATGCCCATGGTGTCATTAAAGTGACTGGTAATCAATGAAAGATTGTTGTTACATTCAGAATATCACCCATTTATAAAAGTGGTGCGTTGTCAAGACATCTCGGTACATAATTGATATTGACATATAAATACGGGATATAAACATTTTGTTACAATAATAAAGTTAAAAGCCAAAGAATCCCAGCATTAACGGCAATACAGAAAGTGTAGGCGTTTCCAAAACGAATATTAGTCGAGAAATGATTAAATGGATAAATGCTACAGTTCAGATTATTTACTATTGATTTATGCGGCCATCTTGAAGCTCTTGCAATCAAATGTCGGCGTCTGAACGATAGCTTCTAAATAAAAACACTTTTCATTCCTTATTTTTGTTGAATTCAAACGGGAAACATGCTTATCGGGCTTCAAACGGAGTTCATCTTTAAAGGATGGCGAGTAGTTAAAAGACAACAGATTGCAGCAAAATGACTGTTTGCGATCTGTAAACAGGGGACCTGTATCATGTAAATAAACAGATGATCTATGCTAAGTATAATACAATGATGATCTGTATGGTGGTATGTAATATGTAAATAAACAGATGATCTGTATCATGTATATAAACAGATGATCTGTAACATGTATAAAAACAGATGATCTGTATCATGTATATAAACAGATGATCTGTATCATGTATATAAACAATTGTTCTGTATTATGTAAATAAACAAATGATATATGTCATGTTAGCCGCCATATAACCCCTCTACCTCCAGAAAAAAGTGGTGCAGAAAAGTGGAACGCTAAACCCATTTTCATTTCATTTCCAGAAAAAAATACAACAGTCTATCAAATACATTGAGTGGTTTGGGTATTGTTTGTTATTATTTTAACTTGGTTAACGGCATTCGTCAGTATATGATTATTTGACCATATGTATCTTATTTCTCCTTTCAGATCCAAATAAGAAAGGTCGGCAGCCATTTTCCTTATTAAAATTGGTAAGAGGCTTTTATGAAATCTATTGGCATCTGTGTCTACTCTATCAGCTTGTTCCTGGCAAATTGGATTATCGCTTTAATGCCGCGCTATATCTAATCCGTCTGGATGGAATCCTTAGAAACTGTAAAATAGCACATAATTGGTCGTGTGAAAGCCCAGTGATCGACAATAAAGCTTCTTATTATGAAGGCTCCACGCAATAAAGCAATAAAAGTGACATTTTATCCCAAATCAGAACATTTTTACACCAACATACGCATCTGAAAAGAATTGCACCTATTGGGATATTTTAGACTTGTCGGAAAATACTTTAAATAAGACTAGAAGATAAAGTGCTATTTATCATCCACGGTTTTAGCATGAAACATTACTTTTCTATCGCAGCAGATACTACATTGTCTGTGCATTTCCTTTTAAAATCAAAGTACGTGACTAACGTAACTCTCAAGTGTTTTGTTATTTAAACAGGTTCAGACTCCTCGCCACTCAGTACACATGGGTCGTGGCTTGATTTATGGGCTATTGGGAATATGGTCTTGCGTCGGCGGGAGGGTTTACGGACGAAATATGAGGGTTCACTCCATTTTGTTGCCCTTTTAACAATGTAACATAAAAGTTATATGATTGATACATATTCCAATATTGTGTGGTTATTGGGCAAAGCCTTTATTAAGATTTATGAGAGTACATTATTACTGCGTATAGTCATATCAGAAAATTATAGATTGGGTGGGTGGGTGGGTCTTTGTTACTGTTCTGTTCTGTTCTGTTTTGGGGGGGTGGGGTTGTTGTTATTGTTTTTAAAAACGTGATTGTTGTTAATGGTCTGCGCCTTTACAAACATCGCAGCAATATAATATCGGCATTACCATCGTTTTCTTTATCGTACTTTATTATCCCCGTAAATATTATATTTTATGTCTCACAATATCACTTTTCATTCTCATTTACTATTTCACTTTCGGCCAATAAAAAAAGGCTTCAATTTGTTCTGTAATAAATGGCAAGTACAAAAATAATCTTGCGACACAGGAAAAATATCCGCTGACTGACGGTCATATGCTATCTTGGCTGGCAATACTGTTTTTTTTTCGAGCTGATTTGCTAAGAAACTATAAAAAATCAAAATAATTAAAGTTGAAGTGTGTATACATTGGCATCAATACGACTGGATACAAATTGTCTGAGAACATGTTGGAGTGACGGTTTGGTTTGCATCTAGTCTAATTTATCAAGGGTAGATAATTGGCGAAGGTTGTATGATCGTGATGTTAATCTAAGTTGAAGAATGATGAATGGGCGTTGTACCCACGGGAACAAGATAAATGTGCCATTGACTTTAAACAGTCCCTTTGAGATGAATGCTAAGTTCAAAACAACCGGTGGTCCAACTCATTTTATGAATGAAAGCCAATAATAGATTTGTCCATTAAATTGTTGTCGTGGTAGAATCATATAACTCAATAAGTATTTTGACATAATCAGTATTTAATGATATATTATTATATAGAGATATACTAGATAACCTTCAATGCTGTTTATATTTAAAGAATGCTATGAATATTAAGATGCAATAAAGGAAATGGCCCACTGCGATGTCAAATCATTTTCTTTTTGAACCCCGGTATCTTTGCAGATATAAACCGGTAGCAATCATATTGTTTAGATTATTGTTTACTGGATAATCATCTAACACTTTCCGTCGAGAACAAAGCTTTAGCGTCATTTATCAGATTAAATTCAAACAGAACACACATTCCTTAACATACTAGTTTACTTTATAAAAAAGAAAGACACGAAACGGTGGTATTGTCTGATTTTATTATTCGAACTTAGCGCAAAAACGCCAAGAATAGCGTGTCATCACTTTCCCCTCTTTATCATTCTGTCTGTTGGTTTCAATTTTTAAGTTCGAATAAGTGCACTGCTGATCGTGAACTAAATACTGGGGATGAACAAAAGGGTAAAAGATGCCGAACTGCTATCGTTTGCTACGTTTGTTTTAAGCAAGCATGCCAGCTTGCGAAATCTTAACGAGATTCTTCGTTTTATCGTCTGCTACAAAAATAGCGGAATATTTATTAGATATCTCATACATTTATATTGCATTGTTTATCCGCTGTGATTTTCTAGCAGACGACCTGTATATGAATATATGCATGAACTATAAAAGGTACTCAACTGGTCAACATGGTATTATTAGATTAATAGAATGCAGAAACGGTTGCCATAAACAATTTTAGGATTCCAAAATAGTGTTCGCCCACTTGAGCAATGTTTCGTGTTGTGTATTCATATTTAAGTAAACACGAAATGACTCATGGGGGATTTTACCATCAGATCTGGCAAGAACATGAATAAAGGTCTGTCTTGAACCTTCATAGAGAATCGGAAATTTTGATTAAAATGCAATTACAAAATTTTCTTACCTTCCCAATAACAAGCAGTAACGCGATAAAAAAATACGAAAGCAAAAAATCATTAGCATGAATAATTTTGCCCTTAGGATAAAAGTAAATGTTGTAATTAAAACTGACATATCGATAGATGAACAATGCATAAAGGATTAAACATATAATAAATTAACAAAAACAATAGATGGGATTAACGTCGTTAGTCGTTACCCAATGGTGGCCTGAAAAGTGATGACATGTTAACGAATTACTAGCTAGTTGATCTAAAAATGGTTAATTTAAGAAACTTTAATTATCTTAGTGGTTGGCAGATTATCACACCATTATATTAGACTGGCACAATTGTTTTCTTCCAGATGAAAGCCAGGAGTAAAGAATCTTTATCGCAACTGGAAGAAGTTCTTGCTAAGATGAAACCATCCCAATTTAAAGATAATCATTTGGCTGTGTATAAGGTAAGATTTTACATCAAGTAAATTAACGTAATTTTTAATTGGTGTATTTTATCACGCGGTCTTCTCGAACTTACTTACTCATGTGGTCATAAGAAATTCAAATTGATCTTGTAGGTGTTTATCGGCGTCGGGATTCTAATTGTGGGCTTACTTATAACTCCCCCGTCCATAATTTTATTTTTCTAGGTGATAAGAAATATATATAAATAAGTTTTCAGGTTAGTACTTAGATGAACTCATTAACCTCGAAGAAATATTTAATAATTCAAAGATTCGTGCCATCGTTAATTTATGGCAAGATATGTTGTGTTAGCTAGTTATTACCAACCTAAGTGCATTGATTTATTGTAAACTTGTTATTCCTGGTCGTTTTAACCACTTTATACTACAGTGGACTTTTTGTTCCCATTGCTAGTCGTTCGGATGGGTCATATTGGCGTTCATGTAAAAGAACGCTTTACAGTTAGAATGCAATTCCTGTCCGGGAAATTGTCTCTCATATAAGTAAACTGTAAGGCGTATGTCGGATGTAATATGAGCCTTTCTAAACCAAATATTGAGCTTTCATTCCATGTGCTTTCTGACTAACTTGATTCTGGACAATTGTAAATTACTGATATTAATGGGCTATTAAGTTTCAGCTATTAATTGCCACATCGCGTATGTGATATGGTATTCAGCCGATGCTCATTGATTATTTAATTTCAAAGATTTCTGATAAATTTTAACTGAAAAATGTATATTAATACTGGTATTGTTCACAACAACCCGAGACCACTACTGATCGCACTCGTATAAATACTAAAGATTGTCATGCAAAAAAGGGGGTTCTAATTCATTCTAGAACGCATTCCATTTTCAAACTTCTAGTTGTTCAACTTAGAGCTTTCATCTTGTGTATATCTGTATGTTTATTCAGGCATTATATTCTGACAGTCCGGTCAATTCAATTACTTGACAGGTTGAAATTAGCTGACACCAGTCATTGATGAAACAAGTTGTAACTGAGCCCAAACTTATTAACTTTTACACCATGCCCATCACTGTCTAAAATGCTGTCTGTAAATTTGTTTCAACGTATCGATTCATCACTTGTCACAGTGCTGGATAGCGGTAGATTTAGACTCGGACATACTTTATATATATAGATATTTTTTTCTGTCAATCTTAGTACTTTCCACTGTGTTGCCGTTCATGGAAAGCTGGCGTTTCAAAACAGTTTTTCTAGTTGTTGGCAATCACATATTCTTCAATGGTACAACAACCACTTCATTGGGCAATTCTACGGACATTGAACTTGGTTTAGCCTTGCCCTGTAGTTAACTTGGAGGTGACCACAACAAGCTAATAGATAATCTATATTTGAGCTTATATCCCTTACAATCAAATTACTCGCCAAATAAATTGATTTGGATTGGAGGTAAAGGGAGAATAGATACTAAACACGGTTCACTCATTTCCTGGGGATCGTGTTTAGAACTTTAATTTCATTCAGGAACAAGAAAATTGTCAACGTCTTTGACATAAATTTACGGTAATTGAATACTGACGTTTAGAGTTTTTGACGCGGCTGTTCATTAACATAGAAAAGTTTCTTAAACATCCTTGCAGCTTTGCGAAATTTCGGGAATTCTTTTTTGTGTCACTTTAATGTGGGTAATTTGCTCGTTTGGTGTTATTTATTATAGTTTATAATGGAATCGGTATCAGAGATTAGTCCCTGGCTTTACTTCTCGACAAAGTTGCTAACATTGATACAATGACCAAACTCTCCTCATGAATAAAATACATAATGGGTGGCAAATTAACATATATGTATCGCTGCTAAACTCCTATAAGTTACAATGCATTTAAAATTGCTTTAATGATTTAATTGACACATTCCAATGATAATGGATAGTAACTTAATAATATGTACAATTTATAAATTCTATACTGTAAATTTACAGTAAAATTCTATCAAATTTACATTCTATTAAATTTACATTCTATTAAATTTACAAATTTAAATTAAATTTACAAATTTAAATTAAATTTACAAATTTAAATTAAATTTACAAATTTAAATTAAATTTACAAATTTAAATTAAATTTACAAATTTAAATTAAATTTACAAATTTAAATTAAATTTACTGTAAATTTAAATTAAATTTACTGTAAAGTTAAATCAAATTTACTGTAAAATCCATACAAATTTGCAGTAAAATTCAATCACATTTACAAATTTGCAGTAAAATTCAATTTAATCTACAGTGAAATTCAATTTAATCTACAGTAAAATTCAATTTGATCTGTAGTAAAATTCAATTTAATCTACAGTAAAATTCAATTTAATCTGCGGTAAAATTCAATTTAATCTACAGTAAAATTCAGTCATATTACAAATTTAGTCATATTACAGTAAAATTCAGTCACATTACAGTAAAATTCAGTCAAATTTACAATTTAGTCAAATTTACAATTTAGTCAAATTTACAACTTAGTCAAATTTACAACTTAGTCAAATTTACAATTTAGTCAAATTTACAACTTAGTCAAATTTACAGTAAAATTTTGTCAAATTTACAGTAGACTTTAATTTAGTAAACTTCGATTTACAGTAAATTTCGATTTACATTAAACTTCAATTTACAGTAAACTTTTATTTGCAGTAAACTTCAATTCAATCAGATTTACAGTAAATTTCAATATCATTTATGATAGTTATTTAGCAAGACAATATCTAGACGCATCATAGATATGTACGACTGTATACGACACAAAATGCAACGTGTGTAATTACTGTCTGAACGATAAGATTATTCTCATGAATAGATATTATATAATTTAACTCTGTTTGATTCAATCAAATATTGATCAACTATATCACTACCAGACATAGGCTTAGGTTGTTCACTTTCTCTTGTTCTGTCATCTCGTAAATATCATTGTAAATTATGAATAGCCGTCTAAATGAATAAATAAGATTACACGTGTCACCTTTTGGGTAATTGTAGGCAAGTATGTTGGTCCTATCAAAGATATCCTGTCCAAGCAAACTTGTCACGTACAACCGGGGAATCGAAACCACGCCAGTTGACTCAATTACAGACCTTATGATACAGCTCTTGTGCTAACCATTCGGCCATTCAACCCCCATCTTCACCAATAAAAATATATACTCAATATGGAGAAGTGTGGTTGAAAAATATAGTCATATTCTAAGTGTACGATTTTATTACAATCATAATGACACTAGCCCTTTATAATTATTTGTTTGGGGTTTTCATGTCAAAGTCTGTCTATTGCATTCATATTAAACAACACATATACTCTTCAAAAAAAGAAACGCATCGTGACATTTCGTCGTCGGTATACCCTCGCTCTACCATTGCCTCGTTGCAACGGGAACCGCGACTCCAACGTTGCTGAAGACATACCCTATGTGTCTGAACCCACTGAAGTCGGATTTGACGACGTCGGCGTATTTCAAAACAACAGCTCTAGCGGGACGTCTGGCTCGTAATCCGGTTTCACGTAGGCGATTATGGATGGACTGTCTGGTCTCAGATCCTACACCGTCCAGGAATTGCTGCTGCAGCTGAGGTTGCTGTTGTGAACCGTTTCCTCAAATGACGTAACAGGATGTGATGATCCAGGACAGGTGGGATCACTCTTGTTTGGCCTGAGCTTGGCTTGGGCGGTCACGTATTGAACTTCGCTGTCGACGCCTATCCAAAAGGCGAGAAATGTTACTCTTGGAAACATTCAGCAGCCTGGTTACATCTGCTTGTAACCGACCGATAGCGTTGTTGCGTTGGTTTTTTTCGTTCGTTGAATAACCCTAACAAATCAAGTTGAATTTTAGACAGACCTTTGGTGGTGCAAGTGAAGTCAGATTGCTATCAACGCACACCGACTCCTGCAACCTCTAATATACAACACATTGTCACAGACCATCACCAAAATCAAAGTTGGGAAAATGATATGAAAATAATCAACAATCAACACTAGATTTAAAACACTCAATAGAAGGGCACTTTTCATGAATACAGAACGATTGTTCCATTTTAATCGAATAAGAAAACTAAAAGTTCTTGGTTAACCGTGTATACCAATTCGTTTTCAGAATCTGCATTGGTCTGATTTGATAGCCAGCACAGACAAACAGAACCAACATATACCAATCTCAGACACAGAAAGAAAAAGGCGGGAAGCAGTATGGGAAATATTTAAAAGTGAATGTGTGTTCCTAATCGATCATCTTATGGTGCTAAAACATGTAAGTATAATATGTATGCTAGAAATGCGACGCAGTATTGAATGACAAAATCGGCGTTTTCCAACCGAAACAACTTACTATTCTGAAATTGTTAAACAATTGGTGAATATAATTTTCCTGTGATTGTGAATGCTGCAAGACTGGAACTTGATCTGAAAATGTTCCACACTTTACTAACTTTTAAGAAAAGTATTAAAAGCTTTCTCTTTAGAAAATAGTATTACTAAACTATTACAATATAATATGTTAGCGAATCGCTTGAAAAGAATTTTACTTTAATATACCTTAATAATAATATTCCAATTTTGATAAATTCACTATAATTACAAAGACTGTCGATGAATTAATAGGATGTGGTGGGCTAGAATATTTGAGAAAATCGGTTTTAGAGTTCCCGCGAATTGTTTAACCTGCTAATGTGTATGGTTTTTCGTCACACCCGAACTACTATACATTGACCAGTGCCATGCCCTCTGCCCTTTACTACTGACAAGGGGAACCACGCCCGAAAATCCAGGTGAACTTTCTCGGCCCACATTGTCTTCGAAAATGGGACCGCCCAGTTAACGAACCAGCGTCTTACTTACTGAGTCACCGCGGCTCATTTTAAAATAAAATATTCTCTACGTATATCATGTTTTCATGGATATCTGTGTTAATTAACTTTGTAAAATAGGTGTATTAATCTGCAGATAATGAGAGAATAATTCCATTTCTGACGTGATAATTTGCCCGTTATTAGTGAGGACGAAATCGGGTTATCTAATATTTTCGAGGAAACTCGGATATCTAAATTTGGAATAACTGCTAATGATTTAATTATAAACCAGAATAGCCACTAGTTGTTTGTGTCTTTTTTTTCAACACATATAGATACAGATATTCTCGTCTAATAATTATTATTAATTAACTTTACGAGTAATTAAAAATACATTATATAATATTGAGATACAGAACTGGCCATTCTTTCTATAATAGTTCAAAATAGATAACGAATATACTAGATCTAAATTATATTCTCGTAGCGTGATTCCATTTTTTATTTAGTTTATGAACATGTGACTCCGGTTCTTATTTATTTCAATGTGATTAAAATATGGATTTCTATTTCGTTTCGCTACTTTCGGTGACCTAATAAGTCACGAAACGAAATAAGATTCGTGTTTAAATCGGATTGCATTTATTTGATCAATTGCTACCAAGGCTGATAGAATTCTCGTGTGAATTTGGATCGACCATGATTAGATTCGCACCATATTAATTTGAACCCCATATTAGAACTGCAATGTTTGAACAATTTGCAAACTTACGAATTATGACTAATGGTGCACGTTCTCTACAGATTCACATATTGCAGTTTATGAGATAGGGTTCGTTAATTTTAGCCCGTTTAAATGTCATAGATTCTATTAATGGAAATAAAACTATATTACGATCTATATTATTTCCCATTTGGTTTGAGGGTTGCGTATTTTAACTAGTGGACTGTCTATACTTCTTGGTTGATTAAACCGACATTGGTAAAACTATTTGTCAAATACCGTCTTGTGATTAATTAACCATTCATTTTTTAGAGTTTTCTGGAACCGTTAAAGAAAGTGCAAGTAGAAGGATACTTAATGTATGCTGAACCTCAGGATATTTTTGGAAATTTAGATGAATTGTGCTATGTGAGTAGATTTTTTTATTCAAAATAAGCTAATTTAAATCAAAATCATGAATGTATAATACATGTACTTTCAAAGCAGCCGTGTTACATTCGATCAAATCTAGATTCAATGTGAGTAGAAGCCTTATCATATGTCGATTCACAAATGGAGGTACCAGATTAAGAATGACTAAAAGGAAATATCGAGGAATGACGAAGTGACATACCATTTATTGTTTGTTGCAGCGTTCTGTTCTGATGGCATGGTTCTTCAGTGCATTCGTTTTATCGTTTTCATTATTAATATTTTTTTTCATTCTTTGGATTTCAAATCAAATTTGTGTTCAATTTCCAATGGCTAACAACTTTGGGGGGCTCTTACCTAAACTATTAATTGATTTCAATTCTTATTCATTATGTTAAAGGGGTATTAACGGTTTGTATTACGATCATTTAATATGCTGTATTGTAGGTGAGTTATACGTTCTGTAAAGACTTTCTGTCGGCGTTACTAAAGGATATGAGTTCTACAGAGTTTGGTAGAACAAGAGTATTAATCAAAGCATTTCAAAGAGTGAGTAATTTTCTTTTTTCTTTTTTTTTCAAAAACATAATAGTTATTAATAAAAGAGATTTATCTTCATAAAACTGCCTTAGCGTTTCGTTAGTCATGTTTGCTTAGTGACCAAGAGGTTCAGTCCCGGTGCTGGCCCAGGAGGTTCAGTTCCGGTGCTGGCCCAGGAGGTTCAGTCCCGGTGCTGGCCTAGAAAGTTCCAGGATACTTTTCAGCCCAACCTTTATTCACTTGCCTTGCTTGACATGGAACAATGTCTAGTTTTTCAGATGATTCGAAAAGTCATTGTCCACCCGTGTACTCGTTGACGTACACGCAAAACAACCCTAAACAACAGGAATTCAATTAACCGTGTAATATAAATGCCATTAAACATTCAAAATTCTTTTTATTCATTCTTTAATTTGCTTCTTTTATATTCTCAGTTTTCAACCCATACTAAAGATGGCGCTGTCTACCATACCTACTGCCTCAATTACACCAATGCTTTATCTTATTTAGATAAACTGAGTGTATATCCTGAATTTGCTGAGTTCGCAAAGGTAAATATGGAATCCATTTTAACTCGCGTTCGGAATCGTGGTGATAATGGTTATAAACTCCTGAAGTGAGACCATTCTTCGATGAATCAAATGGTAACATTATATAGTGGTAACCGGTGATCAACACAGAATAAGCCATCTGCTAGTACACGACACCTGTCACTTTGAGATTTATATTATTGTTAAGTGTAAACTAGGATCTTGGATTGTAGTTCAGAAAACTGTTATTGCTAACCGCACTGTTATTAAATTACGTATTAGTTCAAGTGCGCCATGCAAATCGTGGAATCAAAATGTCCAAAAACGGATGATTCCGAAATTTCAGGATCATTTGTTTTTATTTTGACAGTGGTGTGAACTTGATCCCAGATGTAATCGTCTTCAACTAACCGACCTCCTTGTGGCACCAATGCAGCACTGTACCAAACTTCCTCTACTCTTAAATAATATCAGAAAATATACAGCAGACGAGGTTGAAAGACAACTCGTCACAGAATCAATACAAAAAATGGAGACCTCGTTAAGTAAGTAAAACTATATCTGATGTACACCACCAATTTAACGCTGTGACACGTCCATAAAAACACCATTTCTGTGGTTTGCATTTGATGTGGAAATTATGGTTATAAACTAAAATATTTTGGCATTCAAGAATCGTTCTGATTTTTCAATTTATTTACAGAAAATTTAGAAGAGAAGATGAAATGGGTGAAGAATTTTGAACGAGTCCAAGAAATACAACGTCAGATCACGTGGCCACCAGTTAGTGAACTTGACCCTCGTTCATATATTCCAGAGGTAAGGCTAAATTATTATTTATAATGTAAGTAGGGATGGATAACTTTTAACATAACAGTGCTCTTCAGTCTAGCATACGGACTCCGACTAGCAATTATTTGCCCATTGACTTCAATGTTAAATGGCTGTAACATCACAGGATGTAGCTTTTTGCTCAACATTCCGTTGGTTCCAATCTCTATAGGCACAATGGGGACCTTATTTGGCAATCTCCTCATCATAATTTTGTAGGGGGTTGACCGTTTAGATTTTTTGCTACAGGGATTTGCAGTTGACTGGGGTGAAAATCTCACTTCCGACACAATGATTGCTCTGCAGAAAGACATTTTACACCCCCTATCATATCATCAGTATTACCCAAATTGGAAATTTGATCCCTTTTGTCCAATTCTAGACCAAAAAGTCAACCCAAAAATGCAGGAAGAGGGGAGAAAAAAAATTAAGGAATAAATTGTCTATTTATAACTCGCACTACATTCATCATGAAATAAGGGGAAATAATTACTAGTCTGAGTCCTATATATTTGTTCGTGTAAAAAGACATGTCGGCAAAGGTAATCTTTTTTATTTTTGTATTTAGGTTTTATAATTTATTGAAATGGAAATGAAATAAACCGGAGGAACGGTAGACGATATATTTTTGTTTTAATTATAGGAAGACTGACTGTATGTCACAATTTTATATTTCAGTGTTTGAAGGCTACATTATGTCGACAGCCGTGTGAAAAACTTTTATCCTGTCCTAAAAGACAACTAGTTTATGAAGGTCAACTGATTTTAATAGGTAAATTTCTTTTATGTCCATGATTTACCTATTTTGTTGTTATTTGTATTAATAATGACTTATTTGGGCTGACTAATTTTCTCAAGTTGTATTGGCCGTCAATAAATGATATCATTAATTTATACGAATTCTTTATAAATTGTTCAAAACTATCAAATTAACAGTATTCATTCTAATTATTGTCACATTTCTATTTCTTCCATGATTTACTAGTGCTTGTAAAAGTTCCATCTCTAATTTAGCCAAGATGTTAATTTCCGTTTCGTTTAATTTGTCATGTTAACGACTGACATATTCTGTTTGAAGTCGACGTTCAGATCACGTGAACATTTTGACTATGTGATGGTATACGGGGTGCGTATTATTGGTGTCATTATGGGTTATGTGGGATGGGTGGGTGTGTGTGTGTGTGTGGGGGGGGGGGGTCTGTTGTAAATGTGATGGTGATATACTCTTCAAAAAAGTAGGGGATATTCAGAAACAATCCAAAACTGCGGAAATGCACTGCTGTTTTATTAAAGGTAACCAGTATGTGTTAATAACAGGCCAATTGCCTACACATGAACATAAACGGTTCATATGGGCAGCTTATCTGACGGCCCCATTTCACTCCCAAAGAGATACACGGTCAAAAGTGAAAATGAGTAATTGCTCCACCAATCCTCAGGTTTTCATCAATTCGTCGTGACATGCTCCTAATCAACCGTCCAATCACGATTTGGGGCAATCTGACCCACTCCTCTTGCTGTGCCACGGCCAATTCTTGCAGTGTTGTCGGTTGACGTTGACGTCGATGAACACGTGTCCCGATCAAATTAAACGTAACACGCTAAAGCAAAGATACGCTAAACAGTAAATCTTATGCAAGAACCGATAGGAAAGCAAACATGGATAGATAAAACAGCAAGCGGCAGTTTTCATCAACCCTTCCTTGAAGTGTCAAATTTGACAATGAACCCCTCCCATGCGTGTCGCATGTGCAGCTCGGTGGTTCTGTTGAGGCGATAAGTTCTTCATCTGTGAACATACTTTCAAAGCATGTCAAGTGTCCATGACTATTTATCATATCACAACCTGCATAGGTATTTCCATTTCAATATCCCCTACTTTTTTTAGGAGTATATAATGGTGGTTAGATTAAAATGTTGCCCAGTCAGTTAACACATAATACAACATAAACTAAACGAAATTTTCATTTAATTGTAATTAAATCGCATCGTTTCGATAATCATTGTTGTTAATAGTAATTTATCTGCTTTATTTTCAGAACCAACAAAAGCAGTTGATGTACACATGTTTTTATTTCATGACATATTATTACTTACAAAACCAAAGAAAGGAACCAGAAAGGTTTGTTGTTAATTTATAACCTGTAATATGACGAAATTTGAACTATAAAAAACGAAATGAAATAGAATATTGTGTTTTAATCAGATTGCAAGAACATTTACTAGATTTCTGTAATTCTTCGAATATCATATTCAAAATTACCTTGGACTAACCAGCGTAACCTACACAGCACCGATCTGTTTCACAGAGGATTACGAAAGTTTTCTAATATCTCTGTAAAAGATGACCGCCTTCAACCCGTGGCTTCACAGCATGCGGCGTCAATCATTGGCTCAATGGTGCGTGTATTGTTTACATATTATATACGTTACTAGTTCGGGCAGAATGGTGCCTTGTTTTAATACCCATTTACACTAAATAGGAAATAACCTTTACCTACAAATACTTCAAACGTCTTTATATATTTTTCTAAGACATAAAAAAAATGTTTTAGAATTTAATTTGTCGGTGGAAAAAGTTAATATTTGTGCCCCATTAAGTCGCATCGATCTCATCCTTATCAGTGATTGTAGCGGCCAAGCGAATATTCACTTCTGATCAGTGTGACACAGCACACGCACATACTGGTCTTGGTGTGTGCAGGCTTACGAATTAGCGTAATCGTCTTATCTATGTATTGGTAATACATTGGCCGGTTGACCCAGCAATTTTGCAAATAATCTAAACCTACACCTAATGACATAGAAATGGGAAAATAAGCCTACCGGCGTCGACTAAGTATGTCCCCATTTGAAATGAAACTATCAATACATCAATAATAATCTCTGACTTGATCCGTTATGTTGTCACTTATTGGTCTGCCACGTGTTACCACACTGTGTATTAGTACTCTTACTATATACTCCATCTTAATCATTTATTTATCATTTCAGAAGCAGACGACTACGGATTCCGGCGCCAAATCTCCGTGTACCGGAAGTGGTATTGATAAAGCGTCTTATACTGTGTATAGACAACCTATAGCTTTAGACAGATTTACATTACATGACATCACATCTTCTGATGCTACAGGTGGGTGGATCAGGTTCAAATAGTCTAAAGTGGTGCGGTTGTACTTGCCAAGACATTGGGTGACGTAATTGTTTTCTCGGGGTTCGATGGTTTCTATCACATATCACATATGTGATAGAACTGGTTAAACACGTTCTAAACAACTTTAAAATCCACGAAAATCGATTTTAATTCTACTAACTATTTGTTAGCGTGCAGTAGATGCTGAGAGAACTTAGGGTTAGTCAAATAACCCCAAAATGAACCCCTTTGGTATTGAACTCTATGTTAGAATACCTAATAACTAAGTTATGTCATTCTAATTTTACAGCAAGTGGCTTGAAGAATGCGTTTGTTCTGGCACAATTTAGTCGTTTCCAGCAGATTATAGGAGTATATACATTACAGGCATCTTGTGATACAACTAAGGTGAGTGATGCATTATCAACTCAGGTGCAAAATATTTGACATGTGCACTACGCTTTTTCTATACGCCGCATTGAGAGAGAGAGAGACAGAGAGAGAGAGACAGAGAGAGAGGGGGAGAGGGAGACCGAGAGAGGTCTATCATTTCGGGACTAACGTATGGTTCAATTTTATTTCATTAATTCGCTTGCGCGTAGGGGTCTTTACAAGTGGGGGGAAACTCACGATGTTGAACAGGCGACTCTACTCCTTGTCACGTACAAGCGGGGTATCGAAACCACGTCACTTGGCTCAGTGACAGACCTCATGATGCAACGCACCCCCTCCCCCACCTCATTCTCCTTGCTTTTAAGACATATGACCCGGAGTAGTCTTAGGATCTGGTCATTTTAAAGAGCAATCCCTTAAATATTTTAGTTAACTCGGGTAAAAGATTATTGAAAAACTGTATTCTTGCAATGTTGCGTGAAGGAACCAACTTACTTAATATCTGGTAACTTATCTATCACCATGTGATTATTTAAACTTTAAACTAATTTTCAGGCAACGTGGGTGACAAATATAAACGAAGCCAAAGAGAAATTTTGTGCTACTTCTACGAGTCGTCAAAGTTCGTTCAAAGAAAATCGCAACCCAAAAACGGAGGAAAAGGAAGTGAGTGTGTCGCGATCACCGAGACGGGTGAAAAGAAACAGTGTTATGCGCCGTATACACGGGAAGTCCCGATCAATGGACGCGGTATTTCTTTGATGCTAATCGACACGTGACGTGAAGAGGTTTAAACATCCGAACAACTGTAAGGAAACCGAAAGCTTACTGTGATAGAGGACTGAGATGCAAAGAAAGTTGAAGTTGGGGTCTTAATTGAAAATAAGACGCACTTGATATAAAATGTTTCCAATCTACGCGGACATAAGGCGCACCAGACCATTACGTCGAATGAGATAACTTCTGGGCCAGTAACAACAAGTTTAAAGGAAGCAATGTCTTGGGCGCAGTTTTTATTGAGGTTATTTTGAAAAGACGTGTTTTGATTTACATGATTAAAATATTGTTGTCTCGAAAAATTATTTTATTTTTCATATCTTTCATATTGTCCATGGAATAGCAGAATTGAAAATATAACTATTTTGTTTGCCAGTCACATATGGCTGTTTTATGTGTTCCTGAACATTATAACGACATTCGTCGTGATATTATTACTGCATGCCTATTCCCCACCCCATCCAAGCCAACAACCCCTGTGTTGCTTTAGATATTTATTATCTCCGATAGTCAAATCTACCATTGAAAGACATAGTTGTGTGAACTGATATTTTCTATATTATTTGTAGTTCACAGCCCCACCCCCTTCCAAAGTATATATTGATATGACAGCGAAAATTTAAATTGTAGACTTTACAATGCATTGTGTGGAATACATTACTTACAAAGCCACCAATGTGTTCTTGTTCTTCTTCGAAAAAGCGTCCATGGCACCGCCAATTCAAGTGCGATCGACATGAAAATTGGCATGTTTGTTCCTTGGACAATTGCCCATCGATTGTTGATGGACTTCGATTTTTGATCTGACGTCACAATTCTAAGAATGCGGTTCCATTCCTGGTCCATAGTACGTTCGTATATTTTTGATCCGTCATGACCAAGGCATAGTTTGGGCGAGTGGGTCTCATGGTACCATGCAAGGTCCCTAGTCAGTATATTACAATGATAGTATTGTAAATTGGGCTAATGAAATATGGTCTACTAGCACATGGTCGTCTAGTTTAATGTGGATGTATTTGTTTAATCCTTACTATTAACAAACATTCCAAACTTTTAAAATAAATGACCTTAGATATTAAATAATATATATCCCCGCGACCTTCAGTAGTATTATCGTTTTTTACAGACTACCTATCATGTTTATCATTTCTCTGTGAACCATAAATGTACATTACTTGTATATTTCTATGTAATAATATCGAAATGTTAATACATATTTATTGAAATAAAAATGTACATTTCACCATAGAGATAATAATATATCATAATTATGAATGTAAATTTGTAAAAAACGAATTCGACTGCTTGTATATTTCACTGTAAATAACAATATTATTATTTGTAAATAAGCTTGTTTATATGATCATTTGTAAATAAGTTGTATGATAGTCAAACGTAACGTATGATAATCACCATTCTGTCTTGTCCTACATGTAGCATCGTAAGTTCACTCACTCATTCTATCAACGGGTTTTCTGCAGCAGCGAAGTCATAATGTATCTGTTATCTTTTATAAAACAATGCTATTATTTTATTTGGAATTTCTGCGGTATAAGTACAAAAACTGTACATTTTTGCTTCAAAAAATAATTACATGTTATATTCCCACGACGTCTCATTAACGTATATAACGCTTTTTTTAAGATAGTTTAATATCAAATAATTATAAACTTCCATTTTAGATTACTAAACCTTGTCCTTTTTCACATTTTCACGTGTTTCTCGGATTATTAGTAGCAACATGCATAAATAAGAGATTATAATTAGGTATACTTTCTTTTTTCTTTTGGCAGACAAAAATTTAATAATATTCTTACACACATTGTCATATTACGTATTTTAACGCAAACATGAAATTTGAATATTTTTTAGAGTTTGCCTTAATTTATTAATACGAAAGACAATTTGACACTTTGAGTAATGTCTAAGTTTTTAGAATTCTGTAGCAAATACACAGAATATGAACAGCGTTTTGACCTACTGGTACTTTGAAATACTTCATTCAATCGTGTTCATAACTGTTACATATTTATACATAAGCTTTACATTTTTCTGAAATCAGCATGTTGTGGTTTCGATCTCTCCAGTCCAAACTGTCTCTGCTTCGACTACGACGAATATTAACCGTGATGTTAGCTGCAAGTCTGTTCTTTTATACAGTTCACGCACATGTGAAATGTTGAATCAATCGAGAGTCCTTATCTCTGTTAGATAAATTAGGTGCTGGTTTGTCCAGACAAATTTTAGTTTGTCATCGAAGCGGAGAAAATTTCAGATGGGGTGATCGAGGCTAAGACAAGTAGTTTGTACACGTTGTGTTTGGTTTACACTTGACAAACTTCTATATGGATCGTATAATTTAATGAAATGTCGGCAGTGTAAGCTACAGACTGTGGTGTTTTATCAGAAACGAAAACAATAACGACAACGGTTAGAAAATGTAATCGTTAACTGTAACTGACCAAGTAGATATACATATGTCAATGAATAACCCATTAGTGTCAAATAGAGAATCTCCTACTCGTCTTTTTTGATATCAAAAAATATCAAAACACGTCAATAAAGTAAAATAAAAAAAACGAAGATCTGCCGATTATTTTTATACTTTATCGACAAGTGTTGATATTTTTTTATATAAAAAAAGACGAGTAGGAGATTTTATTTATCACCCAATCCTTTATTGCATGCACAAATAAATAAATATAATTCTTTGCTATAGATTTCACTTTTACTGAACCTGATAACATGACGGCGTAGTGATACATCATGTTTTGACAGTAATTCAACCATTGCAAAGTCCTTTATATTGCCCCAGTGTTTTCATCAAGGTCAATTAAATAAAAATAGTTCATTTTTAATAAAAAAAAAAAAGAAGTTACTTTTAATAAAAAATGAACTGTTCTTTGAAAATAAAAAAAGTAGTTCCTTTTTAACTGAACAATCTAATTCAGATATCGCAGTAGATTATGAAATTTATCACACAAGCGATATACTGTGGAATGTATTATCGGGTGATAAACTACATTCACACTATAGCTTTTACGTCAACTTTCCCGATTTTTATCAATTTTATAATTTTTCATTTTACGTCAACCTTTCCGATTTTTATCGATTTTGGGATTTTGCATTATAACATCGTAAATGTGAACAGCAAAAACGATGATTTATGGCAGTCATCAGTTTTAGCCCACCGACCATGATGACAATAATTCACTCTGACGCTGCAACTTGCCTGTAGTGTGAACCGTGGTACTTTATGGATTTATGAACACATGGAGTTAATCCTAAGTTCTAACATAAAAAGTTAAATTCTGTAGCGTGAACCTTGCTTATATTTGGTTGTCATGAAGGCGTAGTAGGACTATAGTTTAAGGCTCCCCGTAATCATTTTTATTATTATTTTCTAAGCATTGTTTTAATATTATACATGATTGTTAATTATTTACTGTGTCTAGGCTATGACTGTGTTATTTATGTATTGCAATTTGTTACATACAAACAATGAGCTTTTATTTTAAAACTCTAACAATGTGTCCATTGTTGTTATATGTATGATAATATAAAGGTATATTTCAATAGTCGTCTTACTGGGTTTTTTGGGGGCCAATGGTACATAAAGTAAACAATATTATTAATATAGCACAGACAATCCAAATCGTAGGCTATTTGATTATTATCGCACCACAAGACAATGTCAGCTGACACATTTACTCTCTGTCGGGTGAAAAAATCATGCCCAGTCTTGAAGGGACATCCGTCACAACTTATAACTATACAACCAAACTGACTAGAGTTTATGTGTATGGGGGCAAAGAAAGGCCAAAGAAATTAGAATGCATATTGAACTTGGTGTACTGTATTTTCATGTACTCCGAAATTGTACGGAGGCTTTTATTTACTTACGTTTGAAAATGAAGCTCAACTGCATACATAGTTTTCACGTGTCCCAAATAAGCAATTCCTGGTGTTGAAATGGCATTTTAGGCTAAACCTAAACGTTTTTATTTACAAAATGACGATAAAGAAAATACTATTGTTGACTGTATCTTGATTCAAGTTCTAACGTCTTAAAAATTGCTCTTCGAAGTATCATATTATAGCGGTCTTAACCCTACAGTTTTACTGGTACAAAATCGAGTTGTCTCCCTTTAGTTGACTATCATTAATCTGCATTCTTTGATGATAGAGAAAAACCCTTCATGGTTATTCCAATATTGTACACAGTGATACTTTCAGGTCAACTGTTCAGGTTAAATGGCCTCATATAAACCACCAAGGGTACTTGCTGATAAATTAACGTTCTCACATCAAAGGTTTCTATAGACCATTTATCTTTAAGGCAAATATCCAGTATCATTTTTCAAGTTATTAATATGACTTCATACAATTTGAAATTGGAAATATTTTTCATATAGCTGAATATTAATTTTAATCGAAACATCTGTAAAACTTTTAAACCGAACTTTTAGAATACCGACGTGGTAAACAATAAATGACTGTCCATGAGTTCTGTGTATTATGTTATGAGTTATTTTCTATACAAATAACATTTCTGGTCGATTTCTGTTTTGAGGTCTATAAAAATAAATACATTGGATCGGTCAATCAATTTCTCAGGTGATAAATCAAGGTGATGTTTATTTATATTCAGATTGGACCAAAATAGTCTCAATCATAACGACGCTCACTTTATTTGATCCTAATAAAATTTCCAGTTAACCCCCGAGCAACCAGACTTTCTAAAGTTCTTTAATAATATATTTATTTATCTTAGCATTTCGGTATTAGAAGGGGAATATTTGAACTATGACCTCTAAGGGTTTTTTGGGAGGTGGGGTGCTTTATTTGTTATACGTTAGCCGTTTATTCGCTCGCAGGTGAATTTACAAACACACACATTTGGTTGATTGGAGTTGACTAAGGCGTGTGTAGAATAAATATAGATATGAAAAGACTGGACAATTCAATTTGACGCCAATTTAGCCCTCTATAATAGGCCCTTTCACTAGATAGGGGTCAACTAACTGACACAAGGTCATTCAATGAGTTAATTCCTTCAAGCCATACCCATCACACAGTGGTCAACCTCTCCACGTGCCGATTCGCTACTCTGACTATTTTAGCACCTTAAATGAGTGACCATCTGGAGTAATATATTATATTTAAGATTAAGAATCTAAATCCCTAATATTTGGGACTTAGATATTGACACAGATGGGTCGCAACGCATATAATAATATAATATGAATCTATATAAACTGATTTACATTCAATCGTTTCCGTTTTTACTCTAATTCCAAATCAGTTATGTTAGGCAAAATAGGCCAGAACTCTCAATCGAATGTCAATCTATATTCCAGTCTACACCGATAGTATTTATTGGGCATGCTCTCCATATAAGAATATGCGTCACCGTTTGACATGACTTGTGGAATATGTCTAGCCTCGTTCTTCGAGTCTCTTGTTACAAATGGCGCTGAAACGCAAAGTGTTTATTTTGACTTAAATATTGGATATCAGAAGCCAATCTTTTCCCAGTAAGATCACAACATCAATGTTGATTATAATTGACAAATAATTCGTGTTTTCAATGTCAAAGACTTTGAATGATTTTGGGTTAGAGGCTTAGCTACTTTAAAGGTTGTGTGAATGGTGTCAGTTCTGTCTATATGGATGTCAAAGACTTTTAATGATTTTGGGTTAGAGGCTTAGCTACTTTATAGGTTGCGTGAATGATGTCAGTTCTGTCTATAATGATGCGTTATTTCTGTAAACACTGTCAACAAGAGAGAGAAAGAGGGGGGGGGGGACTTGAAATGTTTTCATTTAATCATACATTATGCAAGAGCTAAACTGCCTATTGCAGGTCTTTCTTTGGGCCTGAAATGTTATCAAAATTATTCATTAGACATTAATTAACTTATCCAGACCATAATCAACTCTCTATGACATCGCTAGCCTGCGATATTTACTGGATTAGGGTCCGATTTGCTGCTCAACTTTCATTCATAATTAAATCATGAATTGGATAATCGAGAGTATGTTTTTTTTATCGTACCGACTTTAGTAGTTAGGCCGAAAATTCAATCGCTATATTCTCGGTTAAGAGTGGATCACATTGACTGAAATTTTCATCAAATTCCCTTTACATTATCTAGTTTTTAACTATTATAGTGAGAACTGCCAGCTCTTTATCTAATCTCCCATAATGTATCTTTAAATACATAATATTGTTTTAAGAGCATGTTGGCGACGGTTTATTATGTCTCGCCTGTATAACTAAATCTCTTCTCTACATTAAAGCTAGCTTTAAATCATGATTTATATAGTTAACAATAACCAGAATGGTCACTCTATATTCTCAGATTACCACAGGGGATTAACTTCCATACTAATAGATAATCCATGACCTAAATAAACAACTATACAATTTATAAATATAACATCAATAATCGATCCTAACAACTTGTCAAGAAACAAAATCCATTGGACGAATCAGATAAAATGAAGCAATAGTTAGCTAATGGATGTACCGATTTGAAAAGTAGTTCCCGGTAAGCATCCTCAGCCCCCTTTACGTCACATAAAATATTTAAGAGCTCCAGAAAAAGGGGCGAATAAGGCGTTACTCGTCCTAAAATTCGAAGAAACGGTTACAAAATCTGTCCATCATTATTTTTTTAACAATAATACTCTACCTTATCTGGGGTAGGCGAACCCGAAAGTTCACGACACTAACAATACAGCTGATTGGAATGGCGGTCAAAGTCTGTAGTCTCACGAATTTTGAAAATACGCCTTATTCTTAGATATTTTTCAGATGCCACATGTTTGGAGGATAACGGAAGGCGATTTAACTTCGCACTGATATTATATATTACATTTCTACATTTCTAATTTTCTTGATTCAACCATTTTCAGTAACATATATATAAAATATTCTGGATCCTGTGAGTCGAAGTATCAGACGTATATCGTAATAACTTGACACTGTCAAGATGTTCTGTCTCATGCTACCGTTATCTCGTGTACTGTCATCGAATGTAGGCAGCCTCGGCCAGTGGACATTTCGACCTAGGACATTTCGTCTAGGATATTTCTTTCAAGGACTCTTCGGCCGTTTTTTTTTAAGAAAGAGGACCTTTCGGCTAATTTTATTTTTTATTTATTCTTCAACAGATTTATTTGTTTTATTTCTCTTCGACAGATTCATTTGTTTTTGTTTTCACTTCAACAAAAAATAAGTAATCAGATGTATTAATTTTCATTAAGCACTATATAATTCATATTTCATAGGATAACAGTATTTATAATAACATTCATGCACTAAAATTGAAGTAAATAAAATGAAATCAAATTGGGTTTAACGTCCTACCGTTCTGCTCCTACCGGTTTAATGAAGACGGGCTTACTCTTATATCGAATTCCAACTGACCTCCGTCCTGCACCACTGACAAGGGGAAATCCCGATAAACTTTCTCGGCCAATGCAGGGATCGAACACGCGGCCTCCATGCTAGCGAGCCAGTGTCTTACCTACTTTGCCACCGTGGTTCCCTACTTAAGTTGAAGTTAGATAACTTGTATTTTTAAACATTACACACTAGAACAAGTCTTGTAAATCAAAAGCAAGTTAATAAGTATAGGTAAAAGGTCTTCTAAAATGTTTTTGTAAATTAGCCGAAACGTCCGTTGGCCAAAATGTCCTAGGACGAAATGTCCACTGGCCGAAATATCCTAGGCCGAAACATCTGTCCACCAATGTCATCATCAGTCATAAGTGTCTGAAATGAAATGAAATGGGGTTTAACGTCCTACTGTTCTGCTCCTAACCTGGGCTAATGAAGACGGGCATACGCCATACAGTGTGCTATGAGGGAAATTTTGCCCGGGCAGCGGCACTATCGCCTGCTCTTTATATCGCATTCCAACTGCCAGGTGATCTTTTACGTGCATTCCAATATATACACGGGACCTCGGTTTTTCGTATCATCCGAAGGACTAGACAGCTATCCTTGTCAGGCCCTCCGTCCTGCATCACTGACAAGGGGGAACCACGCCGGAAAATCTGGATGAACGTTCTCGGCCAATGCAGGGATCAAACTCCGACCTCCAGGCTAGCGAGCCAGCGCCTTACTCACTTAGCCACCTGATCCCCTCATAAGTGTCTGACTTTTCCCTTAATCTTGTTGACTGCTATTGTGATGGTTGACGGGGAACTGATTTTGTCAATGATTTCCTAATTAAGAATTTTAACTAGAATCCATTCTTGAAATACCATGAATTATAGATTATTTTTCGAACGACTGTTTACCTCTAAAAAGACCAAAGATGCGTCTCTAATCTTTATGTGGTTTTGTTCAAAGATATAAGCGACAGAAAGATCGGACATCTGGATAGTTATATAATCCAAATCCCTGATCATTATTGGAGGGATATTTCGAAGGGCATCCATGTGAAACTCGTCAACCGTTATTATGGATTATACTACAATGTCAAAAAGTTACAACATCTTCATGGTTGGCTCGGAAAACAACAAAAATAGCCCCTTATATCGTTCTGACACTCATAGTTTCC